AACACATACCATTCACTTTCAGAAGTTGTTTTAGGGGTTCTTTCTTATTAGAATCAGAATCAGAATGAGCTTTATTCACCACTTAAGTGTGCGCAAACACAAGGAATTTGTTGGGGTTTTACAGGAACTCTTGGTGCATACATACATACATACAAATAACCATGACAAGATAGTTATAGAAGTTCACAGAACTGACTCAGCAACAGCTGAGTAAAACTGTTTCATCTGAGCATGTGGCACTTTAAGCATTATCGTATCGCATATCGAATATCGCATTATTTAATGAGTTATCGCATATCGCATTTTTCTTCAATATCGCACAGCCCTAGTAATTAGCAAGATTTTAAAATGTATACAATGTTTAATAGGGAGCCAGTGCACTGTTGTCAGAACCGGACTAATATGCTCATACTTCTTGGTTCTAGTAAGAACTCTAGATTCTGCATTTTGAACCAGCTGGAGTTTGTTTATTAAGAGCAACCACCCAATATAGCATTACAATAATCTAAGCTTGAGGTCATGAACGCATGAATTAATGTTCCTGCATTTACCATTGAGGGCATAGGTCGTAATTTAGATATATTTTTGAGATGGAAAAATGCAGTCTTACAAGCAGTTTTGCAATGCGGTTTTGTTAGAAACGTGATTTTCAAAGGAAAGTTTGCTATCAAATAGCACACCTAGGCTCCTAACTGATGACGAAGAATTGACAGAGCAGCCATCAAGTATTAGACAGTGTTCTAAGTTATTACATGTGGAAGTTTTTGGTCCTATAATTAACAATTTTTTTTTTGCTTTTTCAGAATTTAACATTAAGAAAATACTAGTCATCAATTTTTTTTATATCAACTATGTATTCCGTTAGTTTTGCAAATTGGTATGTTTTGTCGGGCCGTGAAGAAATATAGAGCTGAGTATCATCAGCATAACAATGAAAACTAACACCATGTTTCCCAATAATATCTTCCAAGGGTAACATGTAAAACGTGAGAAGTAATGGTCCTAGTACTGAGCCTTGAGGTACTCCATACTGCACTTGGGATTGGTATGACACCTCTTCATTCACTGTCACGAATTGATGGTGGTCAGATAAGTATGATTTGAACCATGCCAATGCACTTCCTCTAATGCCAAGGTCATTTTCTAGTCTATTCAAAAGAATGTTGTGGTCGATAGTGTCAAATGTGGCACTAAGATCCAGTTCAAATAATCTATTTGCAATTTGATTAATTAATCAGCATATAATTGATTCAGTTTTTTATTCCATGGTCAGTCCTAGATATTTTTGGCATTCTTCTCAGGCAGTTTTCTTCAGTATGCAGGTCATAGTATGGGGAATTCACACTGAAAGAATCCATACCTAGTTTCTCAATATATGCGAAATACAGCTGCAGAGTATGTAAGCATTCAGGTGCACCTGAATTTGTCATGGTGTCTTAGTGTTTGAAATTGAATATATATCACGTTCCTCCACCTTATTGAGAAGTGCCTCTCAAGGCCACGGCTGCCACTTCTGTGCCTGATCAGAATAGAATACACAGAGGAAGATCGATAAGTTACCATGCATTTTGTGGTTATTTTACCTTACAAAATGGATGAAACTGATGTGATCTCAGTCAACCCTTGACTTGTCATTACAGTTCACTCAGTGTTAGATCAGATACATATGTGTGCAAATATGTGTCATAGTTTTGTTGAATGAACAAATTAGCTATTTTTGAGTGTTCATTGTTAATGTGAAGATTTACGCATGACATTACTTTCAGTGTTTATCCAAAACCCCTAAAAACCATGTATGTATGCAGTTTTATTTGGAACAACACAAGTAAATAATCATAACATTTTAACTGGGTACATACAAAAATCTGTACAAAAATAACAAGTAACAAAGTCAAATCTAAACAAATTGCAGTGTATAAATACAAATAAAAAAAGAAACAAATTATTACATCTTATTGCTAACGAAAACACACAAATCATGTATTACACAAATAGAACAATACATTCAATTAAATGAAAATAGCATGAATGTTACACTACTGCACTTCAAACCAGGAAAACCTGGAACAAAAAATGTAACAAGTCATATACACAGAATTATGAAATTATTGCATTATTAGTATTCTACAAAGTTAGAGGAAAGACATTTGACAGATATACAGTGATATAATTGATGTGACTTTTTTCTTTCTTTTTGGTTCCCTGGGCAACCCTGATTATTTGTATCCTCATTTGGAACATTAGCCATATGGTCGCCTTTAAATTAACACACGTATAATTAAGATGTTGCCATTACTGTATTAAAATAGCTTCAAATGTAAAAAATAAATAAATTAAAAAAAGCTTTCCCACTGTTCAGAACATTAGACTACTTTGTATTTCTCACTTTGTTCATTTTTGTCCAAACAAAGGTTATTCTCTACACACAAAGTATGAAGAACACATTGACTTATTGTGTCAAGCTTTCCAATTTAATTACAGAGCACAAAAGAGGTCAATCACATTCAGCAACTGAACACAACTGAAAAGCATTTTTCTTTCTCTACTTAATTTATATTTCAAATTTAGTTGGTGCTCAATAAATATTATGTTTTTTCTTAGGCTGCTAATTTAACATGTCAGTACAATTAAGAAAAACAGTGTGGTTTAATAAATGTTTGACAAAAAATAAATAAAGACGGTCTGCACTCTAAAGTAACTTGGGCAAAAAGTAAAATTTGTATTTGTTGCAATATTTTTGGTCTTAACACCACCATGTAATTCATTTGATTGCAATGCTATGCTTTAATTAATCGTCAACTCCCTTTTCTGAGAATGAGAGAGAACGTTATAGCATTTTCAGTCTAGCAAAAGGTTGTGTCCAATCTTCTTGTTGGAGACCCTTATTCGACCCAGCAAGAGGCCAGGAGGTTTGATCTTTGAGAAAACGAGTCCCAAAGTGATTCTTACAACTCTGCTGCTTCTAGCAGCAACAGTTTCAGCACAAACTTGCAGGGCAAGCAATCTCAGATGTCTAGACCCTTATTCTTACAAGTTGTGGAGAATTGTTGTGATCAGAACTCTTGTGAGGTTTGTAGACTGAGGGAAGTGCTGCACACAACACGACTGAGGAGAGGTTGGATTTCCACCCACCAGCACGCAGAGCTTTTTGGCAGTATCTTTGTGAAAGCAAATTTTAGTTAGTTTGAGTTTACAGTAGCCTATGTGTGTGCATGTGTAAGTAGGAATGTGTGTAGGTGTGTGAGCGTGAGGCTATCAGTAATGCAGTCAAATACCTGAATGACAGAGACAGATTGTGTTTATTGCTCCTGAATGACCCTCTGAGAGCGTGCTATAGAGCAGGACTGTCAAATCCGACCTGTCAATCATTTTTAATGCTATCCTCCAATTGATTTTGATGACATCAAACGTGAATTCAAAAGCAATCCATATAGTGGCATATACTTAGCAACACACTGCCTGATCCAGTATTTTCTGGACATACTTCAGATATCTTAGTTTCAAATCAATTTAAAAATGTGTTATCCAATCAATATGCTCACCTGCTAGAATAAATCTGCTCACTTCACATCAGTGTTATTTTACTATAATAATCGTTGTTAATATTTTGAATTAGATTTTTTTTTATTAAAGTTTTAGTTGTGATTTTTGTATTAGTTTTTATTTGTTTTTGCTGTTGTTGTTGGTTTAAATATGCTTAATATAGTTTTTATTATATTTTAGTTTTTTTCTTTTTCTCTTTTTTTTTCATTTTTACATTTTATACGTTTATGCATTTGGCAGAGTTTAGTATATTTAGTTATACTTAAACTAAACAAAAATGAGAAAAGATGCCTTGGCAGCTAACTGAAATAAAATATTTTATTTCAGTTTTTTGTTATGCTAATGATAACAACCCTGCTTCACATGGGCAGAAAGAGAAAAATAAGTTCAGAGGAAGAACAACATATTTTCCACTTATTGGCTGGATGGCTGATGCAGGATGGTGATAATAGAAGAAAGAAAGGGAGAGAAAGAAAGTGAGGCAGTAATTATAAGAGAATTAAACAGAGGAGAGTGAGCTCTAGCCAGATTAAGGCTGACTGTCAGAACAGAAGGAGAGAGCAAATAACAGGATCTCTCACTTTCATCCCTCTATCTTCAGCTTAATCTTGATTTTTCTCTCCCAGTATGTTTATTGTGTCGTACTAATATAATATGCCAGAACAAATATAATAAAACATCAGACTCTAAGATCTGATTGGATGAGCTGCATCATTGTAAATAACCACCTACACCTGTGACCACATGGTCTGATATTAATATACCAAGTCTGGTCACCATAATAAGCCTACCGTCTGGCTAATTAAGCCATGTCAAATGAGAAAGAGTGCTGTTGTACTGAATATCAGCACAGCTGAGATTTGGTTGTAGTCAGAACAGCATGATTGTGAGCAGCATGTTGCGTACTTAGCGTATTGCATACTTAGCCTGACTGAAATAGTTTTTTTAACAAATGTTAATATTGAAAAAATATATTTTTTTGTTTGTTTGTTGTTTTGTGTTTTTTTTAATTACCTATATATGTTTTTCTCTGTTAACTGTTAGGAACTATGTTACTTGAAATTGATTTTTCTTTTTTCTTTTTTAATTAACAAATAGCAATTAATTATTTAATTACATATATATATAGAGAGAGAGAGAGAGAGAGACTCAAGAGAGCCACTGGCATTTTGTTGAACAGTAAAGTAATGGTTGTGAACATGCTCGTGATTGATTGCTGATTGGTGATTGTTTTTACCATTAGCCCCACCCACTTTTGGCCACTTGTGTGTGCATTTGGTGTAAAAGTATGAGTATGTGCGTGTATGTAAATCAGTCTCATAATTTTTCAAGGTTAAAATTGACAGTAACAGTTTATGAAAATGAAATCGAACAAATGTAAAACAAGATGTCTTTGTATGGATTTTTTAATGGGCAGATTCTAATGTTGTTTGTTGTGTTTTTGTTTGTGTCCACAGGTTTGATTATCAAGAGCTGCTACACAACTCCAGTTTTTGCCTTGTTCCTCGGGGCAGGCGGCTCGGATCCTTCCGCTTTCTAGAGGCCCTGCAGGTTGGTGACTCTGAAGTTTGCTTGTCTAAAACTCTGTCACGCCATGCTTCCTTTAATAACAGGTGTTTTTGATTGGCCTGAATGTTCTTAGGGCTCAGCCATTTGGAGCCCTGAGGTTGCACTACCCTGACGTAGAAGTTATTGATATTGACATTCTGTCATCTTTTCAAAAACACCCAGAGAAGATTCTTATATTGGAGAGGAGAGGTGAAGAGATCTATTAATAAACCTCTCTCTCTCGCTCTCTCTCTCTCTCTCTCTCTCTCTCTCTCTCTCTCTCTCTCGCTCACTCACTCTATTTCTCTCGCTCTCTGTGTGGTTTTTCATTAGTTGTGTTCTCAGTCTCTTCTGTTGGTTTAGTAAGGAGAATCAACTAATGATGCAGTCAAAATTCCAGCAATTTCACATCTTATTTTCTTGTATTAAAAATTACAGTTCACTCTCTCTACCAACATAATTTTTGAGCATTGTATTATATTTTGATGCTCGTGATACTAATTAAGCAATCATTTTAATCTAATTTGAGGTGTTCAGCTGTTGTGTGAACAGTGAAGTTTGTGAAAAGCATACAAGTCAATAACACCCATGGGCAGTGATGCAGAACGCATGCATGAGATGAAACTTCAGCTGAATATATTAATAACTGACTGCCATAATGCATCTAAGGATTCTTAGATGAACAGAGAGTTTGAATATTACATAGCATTATAAATAAATATTCATTTGGAAAATTATAAAGTTCAGTAAGTTTTGACAGATTTAATGCATCCTAGGTAAATACCATACGTTTACATTTAAAGAATTTTGGTATGTGGTGTAAATATTCAGATTTACTGAATAGAGAGAGAGAGAGAGAGAGAGAGAGAGAGAGAGAGTATTTTAATATGTTTTTTAGAAGTCTCTCAAGGCCTCATTTATTTGATCAAAATTACAGTAAAAAATAGTAATATTATAAAATACTACTTTGATAACTATTCTCTATTTTGTTTTATATATTTCAATGTAATTTATTCCTGTGATGCAAAGCTGAATTTTCAGCATCATGGATCCAGACTTCAGTGTCACATGATCCTTCAGAAATCATTCTAATATGCTGATTTGCTGCTTAAAAAAGAAAAAAATCCTATTATCAAAGTCATAAAATGGTTGTGCTGCCTAATATTTTTGTGGAAATCCCAAAGATTAGCATTTATTTGAATTACAAATCCTAAATGTAAAAAATCTCTACTGCTGCTTTTGAATTATTGCATTTAATAAAAAGATAACATAAACACACCTTTCAAGCTAAGTATAACAAAAGCAAGGCTTTAAAGTCCGTGTAAAGAGAATTCTGAGAATTGTTTCTAAACACATTATAAATGTTAGAAATGTATTGCAGAAACACATTACAAAGACTCTGAAGTATGTAGTTCTGAATTGTGGAGTTAAACCGTTAAAACAGTTTTTGACTAATTCCGTGTTCAGGAATTTTTGGGCGGGGCTAAAATGGTGGCTCGATGACGCAATGGAGCCACCGAGCATGGCCCCTCCCCTAACACCAAGACGTGTGTTCGACTTGAAGCAGCACTGCGCAGATCGATCGATGTGTGACATCAAAGTACAGAGCTATAGAGAGCAGACGGCTCCTCATGCTTTCGAATCACTCTCGTGGCATACACTGATCGTTCTGCACAGCCCTGCTTCAAGTCAAACACGCCAAATAACTACAGCGCAGTGGTTTGCCCGCTCAATCGCAAGTTACTGCCGTTCGTTAGGCTAGAGGTTGCTAGCTAGCTATGCCTTTGTCACGTAAATGCATAATACCTGGTTGCAATAATTTACAAAACAACTCGGTCTCCTCATTTAAATAAGCTGCAGAGGAAGACAGTTGAGAGAGAGACGGCAGCTTTTCCGTGAGTGGGCGTGGTTTCAGCGCCGCCAGCGGACACGCCCCCAGCGTCTGAGAGCAGAGAATACTGCTTATTTTTTCAAGATTTTGATAGCTTATTTTATTCACTTGGCGGTTTTTTTATCATTAAAATTTGGCTGAGTGGTTAACACATTTTTCTGTGGTGTGATAAACTCAGAACACACAATTAATAATGACTGTTTTGTTTTGTAGAAAACATGGAAACACCAAAGACGCTTTAATATGCTATACATTTTATTAGACAGGTGACGACCGCACAGAGTAGCATTATAACAGAACGTTCAAATGTATCTAGTATGATAAAACAGCGCTGCTTACTTCCGCTGCTTTCCGGAAGGAGCGGACGCCGTTGACTGTGGCATAATCAAAGCTCCGCTGCTTTCGAGCCGTGTGTCGCGCTCGTTCAGCGGCCTCGTTTTGCTTCGACGGCTTTCTGCCTCACTCTGCTTCATTCTACAACGTCAATAAATCTTTAATACATTAGCTCATCCATGAACATGATTTTTGCCCGAGTCCCGTCGGATTGCTTCGGCTGTGGGGATGAAGACGACAACTCCTATGATTCCACACTCAGTCACGGCGTCATCAAACTACGCCTTTGTTTCTTTGTTTGTTTTGAATACGCGCCCTCTAGTGGCAAGAAATTACATATTGTGCCTTTAAAATAACAAAGGTGACAACAAGGAATCCAACCTAACATGGCAAACGCAACAGCAAAGACAGTATAACCACCAATAAACAGCAATTGAGCAGGGTTTAAATACACAGACCGAACCAAACTAGAGACAGGTGTGGAACATAACTATGGCAAACAATGAAAACATACTAGAAATCATGAAAAAACAAGAAACAGTGGCTGCATCCGAAACCGTATACTTCTCTATTATGCAGTTGGCGAAAAACAGTATGTGACAAAAGAAGTGTGTCCGAATGAATGTAAATACTTATAAAATAAGTACTTGCTCTAGAGATTAGAGAGTTTCGGATGCAGCCAGGAACTAAATACAGGAACTAAAAATGAAGCATGTGAAGAAAGAAAAGTCCTCAAATATAAAGAGAATGTGACAGTAGTAAAGCTTGACTGCAGCTACATATTTATAGCACTTGAATAATGTGTTACTTCATTTCTGAAAAGCATCTGATAATTATGAAGGCCACTTTGTGAGAAATGTTCCATCCTCTAATAAGTAAAGAGTTGCATAAAATCAGTAAGTGGATTAATAAAAATGTGTCCATACGCGGACAGACGCTTCTCTGTCTCATCTTTAGCCTGTCAAAACCGATATTTGTCAGTCAGGTATGGGAGGTAAAGACAGGGTGTTTGACTTTCCTCAGTATTTTTCACATCTCTCCAGCACTTGTGTGATGCTCCCTGTGTTGTGCTCTCTGATGGGAGCACTTTGAAAAGAGACATCAAAAGGCTTTTAGATGCTGGTGCATGTGGGGCAGTCCTTCTCAACCATCTCCATTTAAACATGGAGGAAGTCAGGACTGTGTGTGTGTGTGTGTGTGTGTGTGTGTGTGTGTGTGGGTGTGTGTGTAAGGTCAGGTGGGATTACCAAAGCTGTGGTCTCTGCCTCACTCCTGATATCTGGCGCAAACCTCCTTAAGTCTTCCATATGACTGTCACCTCTGAGTGCTGGACAGTGAGATGCGGTTTGGAATTTATAAACAGTCTCAACCAAAATACGACCTGCCTCCCTGTAAACCCTTGGCATCAATATGCCGACGTGAAAGGTACTGGGAATTGTATCGTCATTATTAAATTATATATTGGGTAATATTGCCATTATTGCATATATTTTGGGGTGTGATTTTTCAATGTAAACCGTCACAACAGTTTAATTTATATTACACTATTTACACATTTATGAGCACGTAACCCAACCCCTGCCCCTAAACCTACCATTTGTCAATAAAACACAAGATATTACAGGCAGATACAACTACCGTCATAATTTATTCAAAAAAATATTAATATTCCAAGTCTTCCGAGGCAAAACGATTGATTTGTGAGAGGAATAGACGCGATCGCCGTCTCCGTCTGCCGTAAAACTCATCCTGTGTGCTGCAGTCAAATTTAAAAAATGCCACCAGAAGAAGCCTTACGTCTGCCTTGGTTGTGAAATGTTGTCATGTGACATGCTACGGGAGTATCTTTTTGAATGAGATATGAGTGCATTAATGGATCGGTATCATTTTCAGCGATTAAAACCTTATGTTTACTCTCTTCTTCGCATAAAGAAATTGCATGGCTTCAGAAGACTTGGAATGCAACACAACATTTATACTGCTTGTTTATGGTCAGTTTTTGCAAGAAATACCTGTGACTGCACTTATATTTGCCTGTTACATGTTTTATATTGTTCAGAAGTGGGTAGGGGTGGGGTTAGGTGCTCCAATGAAAGTATACATTTATATAAAATTATTTATATTTTTTACAAATGCATGCAAACCATTAAATTAAAGGGATAGTTCACCCAAAAATGAAAATTTGATGTTTATCTGCTTACCCCCACCCAATCCAAGATGTAGGTGACTTTGTTTCTTCAGTAGAACACAAACAATGATTTTTAACTCAAACCGTTGCACTCTGTCAGTCATATAATGGAAGTGAATGGGAATCACGGCTTTGAGAGTCAAAAAACACATACACAAACAAAACCAAATTAAACGAAGATGCGTCACGCGCCGGCTGTCGAGGACGCGCTCAAGACAGTTCAGACATTGCAGTGCATCAGAGGTAAAAAACAATATAAATACTGTTCAGTTTCTTGCACAGACCGATCGTTTCGTGTCTTTACACATCAATGTATCGTCACGAGCCGCAGGGTTTAATTTGGTTTTGTTTGTGTATGTGTTTTTTGACTCTCAAAGCCGTGATTCCCATTCACTTCCATTATAAGACTGACAGACTGCAACGGTTTGAGTTAAAAATCTTCGTTTGTGTTCTAGTGAAGAAACAAAGTCACCTACATCTTGGATGCCCTGGGGGTAAGCAGATAAACATCAAATTTTCATTTTTGGCTGAACTATCCTTTTAAGACAAACAACTGAAAACAATTGAGGACTATAGGACTATATAGGTCAATATGTGACGAGTTGGGAGTGAGAACGTGTTGGCCCCACAGAGGTTGATCAAAAAAATAAAATTACATGAAATTATTAATTCGTACAATAGTTACATTTAAGTTCAAAGTTCAATTCTCAACCGTACAACATTCCGCAATATGGTGCTTACTGACAATGTTTTCATAATTCATATTTTTGATTGAAATATATTTAAACGTTTTTTTTTTTTATAATTTAAATCATCTATCATGTTGGTTATTATTGTGGTGTTGACAATTCCTTTTTACCCACATCTAAACATCATAATTGACCATTCGCAAAGACCCGCCCTCCTTAGTTAATGTTGCTATCCCCAACAAACAATGCCTCTCTCACACTACACATCATGTTTTTGCACGCAGTGAAAAATACATCGCAGAGCAAAGAGGAAACTGACAACGTGCAGACAGTCAATACAGAGCAGGTTACTTCTGGTATGAAACAAGGTCTCAGGACTCTCAGTTTTCAAATTGTGTCATTTTTAAAGAAATTCAAACAATAAATACCGTTTTGTGGCTCTTCAATGTGTCGTGACAGATCACTGTATTGCCTCAGTTCAAACACGTGAACCGATCGTCTTTTCATATCTACGTAAAGCATGAAATGAACATAAATGAACATCAGAAAGTATTTTATGTCAACTGTGGCAGCCAACAACAGCACAGCTTAACCCTACATGTATATAGCGCTTTTCTGGGCACTCAAAGCGCTTTACATAGAAGGGGTGAATCTCCTCAACCACCACCAGTACTTCTTCCAACAGCAACCTAGTTTTCCCAGGAGGTCTCCCATCCAGCTACTGACCAGGCTCAACCCTGCTTAACTTCAGTGGGCAAGCAGTCTTGGGCTGCAGGGTGACATGGCTGCTTTTACTCCATTTTAACATGAATTTCTATAGAGACCGGCTGTAGATGTCGGGCAAGATGGCAGATAGCAGCGGCGGCACATAATATCCGCGTTCTGATTGGTCAGATCGCCTGTCAATCAAGCTCTTTGGTCAATTCTGTTGTTTTGTTTTGTTTTGTTTTGTTTTGTTTTGTTTTGTTTTGTTTTGTTTTTTGTTTTTGTTTTGTTAGAATTCACCAAATTCAGACATTTGGTAAAATGTCCCTTTCTGCACAGATCAAACTCAGTTCCATGCAGCAGAACAATATCATATTTCGTTCATATCATATTGCACATGTTAAAGTTTTAATTCAGTTTACAAAACTTTTCTCTTTTTTCAGAAACAAAAAGTTAATATTTTTATTACACTTCTCTCTGGAATACTTGATCTTGATTGGTCAGTGGCATTCAGCAGTCAAATATTTCTGAATAGCAACTTTTATATATATATATCAGGTGACAGTACAGTTTACTGTTAGGTTTACTCATCATGTTGTTATTATTATTAATAATAACCTTGTATCCAAATAAACATTCTGCAAAGCAAAAGTGGGTGACATTCACAAAATACTTAAAGGATTAGTTCACCCCAAAATAGAAAATATGTCATTAATTACTCACCCTCATATCGTTCCAAACCCGTAAGGCCTTCATTCATCTTTGGAACACAAATCAAGATATTTTTGATGAAATCCGAGAACTTTCGGATTAGGGTTGCAAAGGGGTGGAAAATTTCTGGTAAATTTCCGGAAACTTTCCAAAAATCCCTGGAATATTCCAAAAAATCCTGTAAAGTTTCCAAAAATTCTGGAATGTTTCCGAAATTTACTGGAAATGTTCCACCTTTTTGCAACCCTATTTCTGATCCTGCACAGACAGCAACGCAACTGAAATGTTCCCAGACCCAGAAACATAGTAAGGACAATGGTAAAATAATCCATGTGACATTAGTGCTTCAACTGCAATTTTATGAAGCTACGAGAATACTTTTTGACTTCATTCAACATTTCTTCTCATCCAAATCACATATTCTGCCATTATGGAGAGTATCACGACGCATGCACATGTTTTCCTCTGCACATAAACAAGGCACAGCGCATGCATGTTCTACGTCAGCAGCACCACACGCATGCATTGTTTACATGCAGAGGTACTCTATGTGATTTGGAGGAGAAGAATTGTTGAATAAAGTCATTATTTTTGTTTTCTTTGCACACAAAAATATTATCTTAGCTTCGTAAAATTGAGGTTGAGCCACTGATTTCACATGGACTGTTTTACCAATGTCCTTACCTTTCTGGGTCTGGGAACATTTCAGTTACATTGCTGTCTATGGAGGATCAGAAAGCTGTTGGATTTCATCAAAAATATCTTAATTTGTGTTCGAAGATGAACAAATGTCTTACGGGTTTGGAACGACATTAGGCTGAGTATAATTAATGACAGAATTTTAATTTTTGGGTGAACTATCCCTTTAATTGCATTAATCAAAGGCAGTTGTTTAGCCAACAGTGTTATTAAACTGACCATTACAGTAGCGTACTATAAATGTGTGACATATATCAAGATGTTATTATTAACAGTAATAATTAATTTGTATTCAAATAAACATTCTGTAAAGCAAAAGTGGGTGTCATTCACATAATACTTCATAGCAGCAGTCCAAAGGCAGTTGTTTAGCCAACAGTGTTATTAAACTGACCATTACAGTAGCGTACTATAAATGTGTGACATATAAAATGTGTGACATGTAAAACACTATAGCAATCAAAAACAAACATGTGTTTCAACATAATGCACATGACATTGCTTTTCTGAGTTCTGATTTACGTTTCTGAGTAAGAACAAAGGTATATTATTGCTCTAGAGTTTTCGGTATGGCATAGCTGATGCTACTGTTTTAACATCAGAAAAAAGTAAAGCTCCTCCATCTCCTCTGCTGCATATTAACATTTTTGAAAGTATTGTTTGTATGTGTGTGTTTATTTGGATCAGGCTTTTCAATGTTGAGCACTAATTGTTGTTTTTTTCCACCAAAACGTTTAGTAAACATGGATGTCCTTGTCCTTCATGTGTGACTGACTTTTTTTTTTTTCCTTTTGAGGAAAAGAGTACAAAAGTACATCTGGAGGAACATTTTCCTTGAATTGTCCTTTATCTTTTAAAATAGACTTCAGTTTGCTATAAAAACATACTGTACTGTTAAAAAAAACCTCTACATTACAATCAGAATAACGTGGAAATAGGAAATGCACTTAAATTCTTAAACACCAGAGGAAGATATTATTATACCAGGCATATAAATAATAAAGGAAAGTAGCCAAACATTGTGCAGTGTCTGGTTCTTCACATTTAAAAAAAATGTGCTTGGTTTTATTTTTTTTAACAAGATTCCTAATCATGTCGTTCTGACCATAGTCAGTCAGTTCCAAATTTCAGCACATGTTGCTTTGAGATTCTGTAACAATGTCATATTGGCATCAACATAAAGTTTTGTCCACTTTGCAGCTTATTATGGAAAAATCTACCCACTTTGACAGGCCTTGTTTGGAAATCACTTCACAATGTTAGAGGGTTAAAAATTTCCATAAAAATTTGTGAATGTTGTGGTGCAAGAAACCATAACTAACACAGTAAAGATTAAATAAATTAATAAGTAAATAAATAAATGTTTGTTAAAGTATTTATCTCTCTTTATTAAATGAATAGTCTACCCAAAAATTTAAATTCTTTCATACTACACCTGTAGTTTCAAGCCTGTATGATTTTCTGTTTTCTGTGGAACACACAAGAAGATTTTTTTGAAGAATGTTGGTAACCACAGTTTCGGTTCCCATTGACTTCCATTGTATTTTTTCTCCATATAATGGAAGTCAATGTAAACAAACATACCTTCTTTTGTGTTCCACTGAAAACAGAAATTTGTGCAGGTTTGGAACGACATGAGCGTAAGCAAATCTTGACAGATTTTTCATTTTCAAGTGCACTATACTTTTAATGTTAGTACAGTTACAACTGTTGATTGTTAGCTCGGGTCGATTCAATTTTATGAATGGATACAACTTTACAATCTTGCAGAATCTACTAGCTATTGGCAAATGAAAAAGTCCATGGAAGAAATGACATTGTTTCAAGGTGTCAATGTACATTTTGACAACAGTTTATCGATTGAAATGAAGACTGTGAAAGTGTTGTACAGTTGTTGGTGGCAGTTGTGTAGAGGGCTGAGGATTTTATATATGTGTGTGTGTGTGTGTGTGTGTGTGTGTGTGTG